ATGATTTTCCAGGAGCTGTTGGTGCCCAGGTCCACTTCCCTCCTCACTCCGTTTACCTCCCTGGGATCTCTCTGAGAATCTATGTCTGAGGCCCTTATAGTGTTGGTGCCCAAACCAGGCAAAGACCCTGAAGATTGTGCTTATCGACCAATCTCTGATTAGTGCTGATGCCAAACTTTTGGACAAAATTTTGTCAATGGACGATCTTATCCACGTTGATCAAATGGTTTTTATGCCAGAGAAGGGCACGGACATTAACCACTAGGTAACCGCGCTATAGCCGAAAGACGGCTACAGCACAGTTACCCAGTTCTGGGAGGGCATCATATGGCGTCCTCCCTGAACGCGCCCTCCTGCGTGCCCCCGGCAATCTCCATGATCGCTGTGTCCTACGGACACAGCTGATCAGGTGATGATGTAAAAGGCCAATCACAGCAGCCTTTTACCATGTGATCAACTGTGCCCAATGACACAGCAGATCACGGAGTAAATACAGTTGTCGGTTACCGGCAGCACTTTCCTCATGCTGTCACAGCGTGAGGAAAGTACTCCCGATAACCAGCAGCTGTCACATCAGCACTGATCAGTGCCCTGTAGGGCCGCCCACCAGTGCCACTAATCAGTGCCTCCCACCAGTGCCCCCCAGCAGTGCCACTCATCAGTGCTGCCCAGCAGTTGCACCCATCAGTGCCGCCCATCAGTGACCATCATTGCAGCATATCAATGCAGCACCATCAGTGCCTTCTCATCAATGCCCACCAGTGCCGCCTCATCAGTGCTGCCTATCCGTGCCACCTCAGTGCCCATCAGTGATGCCCATCAGTGCAGCCTCATCAACGCACATCAGTGGGGAAAATATACCCGTTTCAAAAATGTTATAAGAGAAGAAAAGAAAAACTTTCAAACGTTTTGCTCTTTTTTTGCTTATAGTGCAAAAAATGAAAAACCCAGTGGCGATTAAATACCACCAAGAAATCCTGATATATGTGTGGAAAAAATTATACAAATTTCATTTGGGTACAATGTTGCATAACTGCGCAACTGTCATTCAAAGTGTGACAGCGCTGACAGTTAAACATTGGCCTGGGCAGGAACATAAGTGCCCGGTAGGCAAGTGGTTAAGACTCTCTGCCTCTTTCTTAACTTGGTTAGCACCCATGCTAATGGTGGCACTCGAGTCATAGCCTCTTTACATGCTGAAAAGGCTTTCAGCTCAATTGAGTCGGTGTTTTTTTGGGAGGTACTGTGTAGACTTGAGTTTAGACCTCAGTTTTTTAAATGGTTGGCATGCTCCCCGAGCTAGGATCAGAACCAATGACCATTTGGGGACTCGGCAGGGGTGCCCCCTCTCAGTGGGTCTTTTTGCTCTAGCATTGGAGCCGTTGGCCATTCACGTGTGGATCTCCTGATCCATTGAGGGCCTGAGGGTCGGTTCATTAGAGGAGAAAATCTCGCTCTATGCTGACGACACTTTGCTGTATTTACATGACGCAGGCTGCACTTAAGGTCAACGATGAATTTGGACAATTTTCTGGGATTTGCATCAACTGGTCCAAATTACTCCTTTTTCCTCTTCATCCCCAAGCTAGAAATCTCTATGGCTTCTACCTCGTTGCTGTGGGCTGACAAGTTCAAATATTAAGATATATGGGGCATTCAGGATTTATAGAGCTTTTATGGGTTGAACGCCCCTCCTTACTGTTACAGCTGAGGGAGCTGTGTGCCACCTGGTCTACCTTGCCACTGAACCTGTTTGAGCCGCATAAATATTCTTAAAATCTATCTCCCAAAATTCAATAATGTTTTTTGTATTCCGCGGTATGTCTCGAAGCAGCCCTACTGGGATCCCTTATGAAAATGAGTAATCTTGTATATAGAAGCCCTAGGGCTTATGCCTCTCTTCCACTCCCTACAAAGGTCACACTTTGTGTTTGGACTGCACCAAGGAAACGTTTTCTGTAGCCTCATAAGTGGTTCCCATATTGCCCATCGTGGGGAAGTCTGTTCTAATTTCCAAGAGCTACCTGACCCCCTGGTGTGGGCATTTTATGGTATCAGATTGGTTAAAGACATCATGCCTGTGGGTACCTTGCTGCCGTTTCGGGATCTCTCCTATAAAACACAGATTACCCGGTTGGATTTACTTTACTACCAATTGCACCATGCAATGCGGGCACAATTTTCAACCGCCCCCTAGACTGGAGACCGACCCAATAGAGGACTTTCTTCTGCAGGAGTCCATTTCTAAACCTCTTTATTTGGCTCTTCTCAGTGTGGAATCCCCCAAGATGGACAGGTTGTGGATGAAATGGCAGGAGGACATTCCAACCTTGAATAGGGAAACATGGGAGGAATGCTTTGAAGATAGTTCCAAATTAGTTATTTCCTCTACAAACAAAATTGCTACAGACTACATGTTTGCACAGGGTATACTACACGCCTCAGAAAATGCACAGAATCTACCCACAGAAGTCCGCTGACTTCAGATTAGCACAACAGTCATTTCTGTGAGGACACTCACACTTCCATCCGCTGTCATTTCTGTGAGGACACTTACTTTCATGTTTTAGACCTGTCCGAAAGTGGAGCAGTTTTGGACAGAGGTGTTTACCTGTGTTAATGCCAGTTTACAGGTGTCCCTTTCACTCTCCCCTGAGCTTGCATTGTTGGGTATCCAAGATGATGAACAGAGGCCTCGTCATACTAAATTTCTCCTTTCTTACCTGCTGTATTACGCTAAAAAGGAGATGCTTCATAATCCTCCGCCTTCCCCCGTGGCCTTGTGGGAGGCGTCCATTAATGCAGTATTACCTATGTACAAATTGATATACAGTACAATAATAGGGGTTGTCCTGGGAAGTTTGATCAGGTTTGGCAACCCTGGACGGAACAATGAATATGTTACTCTGTTGATGTTTTACTTTATAATTGGTTGCATTGCCACTGACATTGATGTGAGCCCTGCTCCTCTATGCTTAATAGGTTATACTGATTTACCTTGCATCTCTTGTTTTATGTCTTCAGACAATGTTGTCGTACTGTACTGCTTCTGTACTATGCCATAATGTCAATAAACAATCCTGGATGTTAAAAAAAAATGTTTTCATGAGGTTTGCATTCCTTCATGTCCTAATTAGAAATTAGCCTGCCTATATAACGCCCCATGTTACCATAAAAGTACAACTGTAATATTAATGGGATACCTACATAATCATGTGTATAACAAAACTTCAAACGCGCTGAATACACAGAACAGTGACTTGGAAAGATGTTGAGTGCATCTTTTTGTGTCTGTTCCTATTGCAGTAGGTATTCATTTGGAACTACTAATCAATGAGGATAGGAGTTGCCTAGCTATAAAATGTTCAGTATTAATGGCCAGAACACCTCCAAACCTTGGTTAAAAAGCTATACAAGGACAAAGTCTGATTACCTTAACAAATGAATGTGACTATATGGACAAGCCAGCTCACTCTTCTTTCTTCGAAGGTTATGTTGTTTGCATGGAGGGTGGATTGTCCATTCCCTTGCACACACAAGTCCACTATATAAACACATAGCTAGGCTGGAAATATTTTTCTTGTCCCAGAGCTTGCATTAAGCTTGTATCTGTTCTGATCGTGGTGAAAACAGCATATGTAGGTACGTATTCTTGTTATATTTTCTTTATCTGTCACATTACTTGTAATAAATTTTCTACTTATAAGTATTTGTGTGATCTCTCTTTGCACATATCGAATACAATCCCAAAAAACATAACATAACAAAAAACATAACAAAGCACATGGTAACAGAAGAGTGGGGTTTGATCTGTGTCTTTGTTATGTAAGGCATAGTACATTCAGAAAGCATAGGAAACGTATCAGACACTTAGCTGGCTTAATTGAGATTCCTGTAGGTGATCAGATGCGAGCCAATTCCTTTGTTGGGAGTCCACGACTGGAAACCATTGCTCGCAATTTTTGGTTTGATAAATTGAGCAAGCGACTGATATACAAGGGAATAGTTGTATTGTCAGGAAGCTTCAATTTGTGATAATAGTAAAAGCGTTGAACTCTGGACTGTAGGCAAGTTTCAGAGTAATTCGCTTTGTTAGGGTACTGCAGTACTCACAATCTGAGCATTAGCGGATTGTTTTCAAAAATAAGATGCGTATGTCCGAATCTCAACGGGTTTTGTTTGTAGCTAGCTGTTGAGGACATGGTAATTGCATGAAGACATGATGAATGCATGTTTTGTCTTTGGTAAATGTGACAATGTTACATGAATTTAAGATAGAAAGGTAATAGTAAGTAATGATCATATGTAAAATACGTTTGGCTACTTATGTTTGAAGGTCTACACAAGTTTAACATTAGAATGGTTAAGTAATAAAACGAAGGTGAAAGTTATGAGAAAAGTGGGCCTTTGTATGTTTAAATGAAAAAATCAATTTATAGCAGAGATGGCTACAGTCTGTGCTTGTGCGTGGGTGACCCCTCACTTGCTCCTTGATGTCCTGTGTCTGTGAGGGAGAGAAAGCTCAGTTTCAAGCAGCCCCCACAGCCCCCTCTTAACAGATTAAGTAAATCATAACATTTTTGACCATCTAGGAAATGTGTATTCTGTGATATTCAAATGTGGGTGACCTGAGAGATTTTATAAGGCAATAGGAAATGTTTAACAATTTCACCAGGATTTTATTTTTTTGCAAAAGGTTCTAGTTTTTACTATGTAACTAATTAGGCACCATATTTTTCGCTCCATAAGACGCACTCCCCCCCCCCCCCCCCCAAAATAATGGGGGGAAATGTCTGTGCGTCTTATGGAGCGAATATGGAGCAGCCAGCCCGGGATTCCCGCTGCCGTGTTAAAATACCGGGCTGGACGCTAGGCTCTTCTGTGCAGCAGAACCTGCTCCTTGGTCCTACCTGTTCCTCGGTCCAGCGGTGTCTTCACCATTTTCTCTCCCTGGTGCTGGCATCTTTAGTGTGGGCACCTGGCTGAGACCACTTGCAGCTTCATAACCTTCATTCACTGCGCATACGTGAGAAGCACTGCACTTTGTGAATGGTCCGGCAGTCTTCTGGGACTTGTCACGTGTTCCAGAAGACAGGGAGGGAGGACAATCCTTCGGAAATGGGAGCAGGTACCTGTCAAATTCGGGCACCTGCCCCCCCCCCTTCCGCTCCCAAAAGGTCCCCTGTCTCTGGTCATCTCCTGTACTGTGTCCGCAGTCTCTGGTCATCTCCTGTACTATGTCCACAGTCTCTGGTCATCTCCTGTACTGTCCGCAGTCTCTGGTCATCTCCTGTACTGTCCGCAGTCTCTGGTCATCTCCTGTACTATGTCCACAGTCTCTGGTCATCTCCTGTACTATGTCCACAGTCTCTGGTCATCTCCTGTACTATGTCCACAGTCTCTGGTCATCTCTTGTACTATGTCCACAGTCTCTGGTCATCTCCTGTACTGTGTCCGCAGTCTCTGGTCATCTCCTGTACTGTGTCCGCAGTCTCTGGTCATCTCCTGTACTGTGTCCGCAGTCTCTGGTCATCTCCTGTACTGTGTCCGCAGTCTCTGGTCATCTCCTGTACTGTGTCTGCAGTCTCTGGTCATCTATGTGCTAAGAAGCAGTTGAACACAACAGTCTAATCATGCCTTCCCTGCTTTTCACAGGTAAATTGCTGCTATCTGCTCTCTCTACTCTAAACTGCAACAATGCATAGACTCCTGCTATCTCTGTGTAAATTGCTGCTATCTGCTCTCTCCACTCTAAACTGCAACAACGCATAGCAGCAATTTACCCAGAGATAGCAGGAGTCTATGCGTTGTTGCAGTTTAGAGTGGAGAGAGCAGATGGCAGCAATTTACCCAGAGATAGCAGGAGTCTATCTGCTCTCTCCACTGTAAACTGCAACAACGCATAGACTCCTGCTATCTCTGGATAAATTGCTGCTCTCTCCACTCTAAGCTGCAAGAACGCATGGACTCCTGTTAATTTCAGAACAAATAGTGTATATATATTTTTGTCTATGTTGATCAGTTCTCACCTCTTGATGCATTCTTTTTATGACTGTGGCCTGTGTCTGGTCTGTGTTTGAGAAACATCTCCCCCTATTCATGTGATCCTTATCAGTTCCTTATTGGAAGAAGAGTGCTCATTTGACCATCTCCCTATAAATTTAGATCAGCTCATGGGGGGTGGTCACAGATCAGGAGGCAGTCACAGATGGGGTGCTGTTTTTGTTGGAGTGCTAAGAAGCAGTTGAACACAGCAGTTTAACTAAAGCAGGATAACTCAAGCAGCAGGAAGATACAACAGCAGGAAGATACAACAGCAAGAATCCTTGCTGCATGCTGGACAGACTGCACGCAAACACCCTGGGAAACATCTCTTACAAGTCTGCGTCCCACTCCGTATACCTTTTAATATGTCCCTCCACTCCTCCTTTTCATATTACTATCTTGCGTTCCCAAAATCTCACTTCTTTACCCCTCTGCTCCACCCCAAAACTTGTACATCTCACCCTCACTGCTACCATCGCCCTACTACTGCTCTCATCACCTCCTGCTGATACTTTACTCTCCTGCTGACCCAAACACCAGGAGTGGAAGGCATGTGCACTCGTGTACATCCCTACTTCAAGCAGCAGATTTCTTCTTCTCCCGCAGCACTTTCCTATGGAGGCCTTCTTTGGACCCACTCACCGACCCAGTGGTTAGAAAGGTGGTGGAGTTGGTTTGCTTCTATCCCCACTGAGCACCTTTCAAGTCCTCCCTAACCCTCCCTCTCTATCCTTCTCTTCTTTCGAGACTCACTGCATCCGGCTGTTTTCTCATATTTCTCTGAGGATTGCAGTGAATTATCGGCCTCCTGGACCGGTGTTGCGCTTTCTTGATGATTTCTCCTCCTGGCTACCCTACTTTTTCTCTTCTGAACTACCCACTATCATCCCTATTAATGTCAACAACCCGGCTACATCCCAACTCTTCAACTTAACCTGATCTTTTGCATTAGCACAATGTATACAATCCTCCAATCACTCTGATGGGAATACATTAGACCTTGTTTTCTCCCATCTTTGCACTCCCTACAACCTCTCAAACACCCTCTTTCCTCTCTCTGATCACAATCTCATCACCTTCACAGTGTCCTCGTCTTCAAACATCTATCCCTCCAAGCAGCAAACAATTACCCACAGAAACCTTCACAACTTGAACCCTGCTCCTTTTCATTTTGCAACTGACCAACTCTACAACAGAATCTCTCCCATGTCCTGCCCTGACCTGGCCACTTTCATCCACATTAGACTCACTTGCTCCTCTAACAACACAAAGCATCAGGTCCCCACCATTACAACCTTGGCAGACTGATGACACCAGAAATCTTAAACGACATAGTCGTGCGCCGGAGCGATTGTGGAGTAAAACCAAATCTCAACAAGCATTCACCCTATATAAATCTGCTTTCTTAACATACAATTCCTCCCTTCATGCTGCCAAACAAGCCTACTTTGTCACTCTTATTAATACCTTGTCATCCAGTCCTCGTCTCTTCTCTACTTTTAACTCTCTACTTTCTCCACTTCCACCCAGTACCTCACTCACTGCTCACGAGATTGCAAATCATTTCAAAAACAAGATTGATGCAATTTATAGGGGCATTGCCACTGCACAGACATCCATCCCACTTAGCATACCTTATACTAAACCTCCCTCAACACTTTCCTCTTTTGACCTTGCTACTACTGAAGAGGTCACTAAGGTTTTCTCTGAAGCCCGTCTCACTACCTGTCCCCTGGATCCTGTCTCCTCACAACTACTATGGTCACCGTAGTAGTTGACCAGTAAAGTTCTGTATAACATGTTAAATGTATGACTAAGCTAAGAGCAACAGCTTAAATTAGGACAATGGTGAATGATCACTAGATATGTACATGTATATCTTTGTATTGTCCTTATTGGAAATTATAATGAAGTGTGATACTTTAGAACAGTGTTTCTCAACCTTTTTCCAGTCAAGATGCCCTTGAAAAGTATTTTCAGTCACGAGGCACCCCTGTCCAAGGCTTGGTTCACGTTACTCTGTGTCGCGTTACTGTGTGTCGCGTTACTGTGTGGTAAACGCGGGGTTTTTTGGTGTGGTGCAATTTTAAAACTAAGGTCAGAAATTACTTTCCCTGCATTTCTGTGGGTAAGGCAGCCCATTGAAATTAATGAGTTGGCTTCCCTACACACAGCCACACAGATGTGAACCAAGGGCCTGTTGACCTGTGAGGTTGGAGGGCAGTAAAACCACGCAATTGAGCAGCTTTTACCAACCCAACTGCTCCCCCTTTAGCTACAGAAACAGCAGCTTGTGGTATACACATGCTGTTGCCACAGCTGGAAGTAAACCTCCAGGTGAATGGGGTTGAACTACAAACACCCTGCAACTGTGTGCGCATTGCACGCAGTTGTGGTGTGGTGACTGATGCTTTTTACGGGGTTAAACTAGGTGGTGAGGAGGCAACATATTGCCTGTTTACCACCTGTCAAATGCCTCTGAAAAGCAATCTGAGCATGGATTACTTTTCATAGGAGCAGCAGTCCTTGCTGCTATTACAAACATGTCTAAAAAAGCAGTTCTGAAAGGACAGGAACAGGTGGTCGAGATTAAAAGTAAAATATCAAGGGAAACCAAAACAATATCCTCAGACCTGGGAGCTATGGCAGCTGGCTGCTGCTGCTCTTCAGGGACAAATTCATCCATCAAGAATTTCTAAGATTCATAGAAAGAGAAACCGCAACAGAAGCCTTGGAGGCTGCCTTAGCTGAAATCATGTACACCACACATTTTGGAAGAGACCGGCATAGAAGTACACTTACGGCCTCTGCATTTGGTGTCAGCAAATCTTTGCAATTAGATCCATAAACCCAATCATAATGGCAGCATATCTTGGTTCTTGACAAAGATGTACTACAGGGGAGACATAGGATCTGGCTATGTAAGGGGAGCCCAGGATCATAAAACATATGAGCAGAAATGCAGACCACCTGAATTGAAGGGTGTATTTCAACTGCATACTTCATCCTAGGGGGCGTGGCTTAGCCATCCACGTGAGAGGTCGTGTTTCCTCACAGCTCTGTCAACATTCTGCACTTTATCCTGTTTGGAGACCCTTTCCACAACCACACTCACCGGGGACACCGGCATCTCTACCCACTGTGGCAACCTGTCTCCACTGCCCCTATTCCAGAGTGCCTTAGCCATGACAAAGAGGAAGGGGGACAGGAAAGCTGCAGGGCAGCTGCACCAACATGGCGGAGACACGCTCCCACAGCGCTCGGCTAAAGACTACAAAAGGGATGCTACGGCCAAATTCACTCATTCGTCCAGCAAGGAGCACTCCTCAACTCCTCCATCGGTCAATTTGAAGAAACCTTCCTCTCCAAGAGCGGCTTCACTATCAACTGCTCCTCTGGCCTTAACAATGCCTACCTCGGCTGCAACCACAGTGATTACACAAACACCCTCACTTTCTGCCACAAGTAATGAAGGGGAAGCTGAGCCCTCGGAAACCCTCTCTCAAGGACTTTCTTGCAGCAGTTCATACTATTTGTAATTCACTCACTCAGCTCACAGTGGAGTTTAAAAGTATGAAAGATGATATGTTATTCCTACACCACGATATGAAAAAATTAGAGAAAGGGCAACCACTATATAGGGCAGGGAGAGCGCCACTGAAGATGAACTTCCTGCAATCCAGCAAGATGTCCGCTCCACACCACTAAAACTTCTGAACATGCTGCCAGAAGTGAGAATATGGATAACCGCCTACACAGAAGCAATCTTCACTTGGTTGGCATCCATGAGAAAGCCGAAGGAAAAAACCCAGTTGATTTTATTGAGAACTAGCTTTTAACCTACATTTGGGAAAGAACCTCACTCCATTTTTCTCTGTGAAAAGCGCTCAGAGTGCCACATCATCCTCTGCCACCAAGGGGCCCTGACAGACCGTTCTTGCTGAAACTACTGAATTATAAAGATAGAGACAGTATTCTCAGACTTGCCAGACAACAACCCAACATGGAGATTCAAGGGGTAAAAATTCTCTATATTCCCAGATTTTTCTGCTGAAATCCAAAACAGGCGTGCTAAATGTCTTACCCCATGCTTTCTTTTGCTAAGCTGCGAGTGGTAGCAGATGGCTCTGCAACAATTTTTTTGACTCCCCTTCTGCAGCTGCCCATTGGCTTGACCGCAATGAGCGGCAGCTATGCCTGGCTCCTGCCTGATTCTATCATGGGCCGGTGCCACATTTAAGCATCCAATATTGTCTCCTATTTTGAATTTATGGACCTATAGTGCCTTGGGTGGGTTCTTCCTATACTGTCAGAAGAATATATGTGTGTATATGAAAAAGTATCACCACATGTCTGCCAGCAGCAGCAGTTTCATATACACACACATTTTCTGATGGCACAGGAAGCACCCACCTGTGTCACACAGGCTGTGCATGGGTCAGATACCCCCACACTGAGAAAATTGGTAGGCTGTACCCATTGGCACATGTCAGGTGATCAGCAGGATAGTCTTTGAGGATTTACTGTGGTCTGGAAGAAACAGCTGCACATTACAAAGCTTGAGTGGCTGGGTACACTATAGGCATATCAGCCTGCCTTTAGTGGGGTCATGGCAGCCTCTCCACTCTTTTCCCCTTCAAGTGGGGCCACATCCAGTACATCTATATTGGGACTATATTGTTCTACCACAGACTTTATCCATG